GTTCCTCTGGAGGGCCAACCACAGGACATAGAGGCCGAGACATTCATAAGAACATCAGAAGAGCCCTGCTGGATCCAACCAGTGGTCCATCTATTCCAGCATCCTGTGGCCAACCAGTTCCTCTGGAGGACAAGCAATGGGGCATAAAAGCTGAAGTCTTCATAGTAACATCAGAAGAGCCCTGCTGGATCAGACTCACTGTCCATCTAGTCCAGCATCCTGTCTCACACAGTGGCTGACCAGTTCCTCTGGAGGGCCCACAGACAGGGCACAGAGGCCGAGTCCTTCATAAAAACATAAGAAGAGCCCTGCTGGATCAGACCAATGGACCATCTAGGCCAGCATCCTGTGGCCAACCAGTTCCTCTGAAGGATAAACAATGGGGCATAAAAGCTGAAGTCTTCATAATAACATCAGAAGACCCCTGCTGGATCAGACCTGTGGGGGTCCATCTAGTTCATAAGAGCAGCCTTGCTGGATCCAACCTGTGAGGGTCCCTCTAGTCCAGCCTCCTGTCTCACAGAGAGGTCAACGAGGTCCTCTGGAAGGCCAACCACAGGGCAGAGAGGTTGAGGCCTTCATATCTGGGCTGGCTGGGAGAGCCTCCCCTCGCTCACACACCCTCCCATCTGAACCACTGGAAAGGGGTGCCTTCTTCCACCTGCACCTGACCCTGGAGCAATGTTCCCTCTAAGCTGTGGGGTCCTGTGAGCAAAAATTCTACTTTGTGAGCTACGGACATTAAAGTTGTGAGCGAGCGATTTGGCTGCTACATAAATTAGTTTGCTCTAGAGCCATCCTTCCCGAGCTAAGACAAAAATGTGTGAGCCGGAGGCTAAAAAACTGTGAGCCAGCTCACACTAACTCAGCTTAGAGGGAACACTGCCCTGGAGAGCTGTCAAGAGGGACCGTGGCTCAGTGGTAGAGCAACTGCTTGGCATGCAGAAGGTCCCGGGTTGAATCCCTGGTGGCATCTCCAGTTAAAAAGGACCAGGCAGGAGGTGATGGGGAAGACCTCCACCTGAGACCCTGGAGAGCTGTCAAGAGGGACCGTGGCTCAGTGGTAGAGCAACTGCTTGGCATGCAGAAGGTCCCGGGTTGAATCCCTGGTGGCATCTCCAGTTAAAAAGGACCAGGCAGGAGGTGATGGGGAAGACCTCCACCTGAGACCCTGGAGAGCTGTCAAGAGGGACCGTGGCTCAGTGGTAGAGCAACTGCTTGGCATGCAGAAGGTCCCGGGTTGAATCCCTGGTGGCATCTCCAGTTAAAAAGGACCAGGCAGGAGGTGATGGGGAAGACCTCCACCTGAGACCCTGGAGAGCTGTCAAGAGGGACCGTGGCTCAGTGGTAGAGCAACTGCTTGGCATGCAGAAGGTCCCGGGTTCAAGCCCCAGCATCCCCAGTGAAAGGAATCGAGGTAAGTGATGTGAAAGACCCCTGTCTGCCTGAGACCCTGAAGAGCCGCTGCCAGTCTGAGCAGACAGTGCTGACCTCGATGGACCAAAGGTCTGACTCAGCATAAGGCAACTACACATATACGCGTGTAACAGCTGCCTGATGCCCTTTTCAGGGCCCAGTGTTGCAGGAGCCCCCTTCCTCTCTTTTGTGTAACATGAGGATTGTAAGGAGTACTGGGTGGCTGGGAAGGGAAACAAAAGAGTTTGATTGATAAAGAAATAAGGTCTGTTCTTGTCTCCGCGTCAGGGAGGGTTCTTCTCACGCCGGCCGCTTCCTTCAGCAAGAAGGACCTTGTGCTTGACTCCTTGAAACCGGGGCCCTGCCTCCTCCTCTGCTCGGTGCCCGCCCCTGGAGGGAGGCAGGTGCCCACTCTCCCACTTGCCCCAGGCCCCCTCTGCTGACCCACAGGGGCCAGCCCCTTGAGCTGCCTTCCCCTATCACCCCCTCCCTCTCTCTGCAGCACAGGAGCCAAAACCAAGGGGACGGAGGTGGCCGCTCGCACTTTGCTTCTCAGGTGGAAGTTATGGTGTGAATATGCTGGCAACCGAGGGCGAAGACCTATCAGATCACCACCTCCTGGACAGACTGTGAAGTGTGCAGAGGAGGGCCAAGGGGGGTGGGTGGGTCGGGGCCTCCCCAGGCCTTGCTAATCGCCATGATTTCTGGAGGAAAGATCAAAAAGAAGACACAGGAGCCTGCAGACGGAAGGAACGGTGCACAGCCAAGTGGCCTGCCCACAGACACCGGGGGGGGGGGGAGACGGGGACGGACAGAGGCTGAGACCTCACCCCACTGGAAGAGGCAGGTGAACAGTGGCCTGCCCGGTAGCGTTTCTTAGAGCAGGAGGGGCTGTCTGCTGACCAGGAGCTCCATAGATAAGGAGCAGGTGAGGAAAAGGAAGGGAGGTGTGACATGGCAGCCGTCACCTTTGGCCCAGGGAAGAGATTTGTGAACATAAGAGAAGCCAATGTTGGATCAGCCAGTGGCCCATCCAGTCCAACACTCTGGCCAAAAACACCAGGGGCCATCAGGAAGTCCAGCAGTGGGGCCAGAGGACACTAGAAGTCCCTCCCACTGTTGCCCCCCCCCCCGAACACCAATGAATACAGAGCATCACTTGCCCCAGACCGAGAGTTCCTATCTATACCTTGTGGCTAACAGCCACTGATGGACCTCAGCTTCATATAAGAACATAAGAGAAGCCAGTGTTGGATCAGGCCAATGGCCCATCTAGTCCAACACTGTGTCACACAGTGGCCAAAAATACCAGGTGCCCTCAGGAGGTCCAGCAGGGGGGCCAGGACACCAGAAGCCCTCCCACTGTCACCTTCCCCCCCCCAAGCACCAAGAATACAGAGCATCCCTTGCCCCAGACCGAGAGTTCCTACCTATGTTGTTGTTCAGTCGCACAGTCGAGTCCGACTCTTCGCGACCCCATGGACAAGATCTCGCCAGGCCCTCCTGTTTTCCGCTGTCCTCTGAAGAACCTATACCTGGTGACTAATAGCCATGGATGGACTTCTGCTCCATATGCCTATCTAATTTCCTCTTGAAGCTGTCCATGCTTGTAGCTGCCGCCACCTCCTGTGGCAGTACCGGAACATTCACACAGAAAACCTCTGGAGCAAAAAGCCAGGTCCCTCCTCCTGGCTGCAGGGCTCAGTGCTGCAATGGAGCCCAGCGTGGGGCTGGCGGCGGGAAGACCCTCTGAGCAGCAACCCCCCCCCAGGAGGAGACAGCCAAGGATGGCCTCTCCAGAGCCAACACCAGGCCAACCCAGAGCCCCGCAAGATCCCATATGTGGGGCAGAGCCGGGGCGGGAAGGCGGTTTCTGCCACGCCATTCCACTCCCTGCCAGATCCCCATTCGGAGACGAATGCCCTGCCCGACCCAAGTGCACGGCTCAGTGTGGACCCCCCCCTCCAATACAAGCCACTGAAAGCGAAGGTCAGGGTAATGCCCCTGATCTTGGCAGACGACTGCTGTAGCTGAGGGTTGCAGCAGGCTTGTTGTACGAGCCTCAACCAGGAAAAGCCTGGCCTGGCAAATGGCACCCCTAACGGGGGCACCGTGGCAGAAGAGCAAAGAGGCGAAGCAGGCACGAAGGGAGCCAGGGGCTTCCAAAGAGCCTCCTCCAAAGTTCCTACAAACACATCCCCCAAAGAAAGGGTCTTCTCCGTCCCCTCCACACACAAGCCAGTCCTCCCCCACCTCCTACGAACAGGAACGTCTCTGTGTTGACTTCATTATAGTCCAGCTTCCTCCCTGAGACTCAGGGCTTGTGTGGAGCCAGGTGGCCTGCATCTTTGCCTAGGGCTCGGAGAAGAGCCGGCAGGACTCCCCAAACTGGCACCGCCTGCGTCCTCGCGTTCGTTCACATTCTCCCACCACACAGACATGCCACACAACAACAAAGCGGAGGCCTTGCAGGATACAAGCAGGGAGACCCAGGGAGGTGGGGGGACCTTCTGAAGCAGGGGTAGTCAGCCAGGAGCAGCCAAGAGCGACTCGTTGACTGTCCTCGGCTGTGCGGCCTGCCAGCCGTGCATCACGGTCGGTCTACACGTGGTTGCCGGCACCATGCCAACCACGAGCCCTGCGAGGGGCGCACGGCAGCAAAGCCTGACACCAGCAGGGCAAAGGGGGAGGGGAGGGAGCCAGTGGCCCTGCCAGGGGAGCACACAGGGTGCGCGCTTGGTGGCCTGCTTCCAGGACCCTGGACAGCTCTCCGGTTCTCAGAGGCGCCATTGGTAGAGCTGCCGAGTCCCAGAGAGAGCCAGCGAGCAGGGAGCTGTCCAGCATTGCAGGGCCAAGAGTCCGCCAACCCCAGCACCAGTGCTCCCTCTAAGCCATGGAGTCTTGCGAACAGAAATAATTCTACCTCGTGAGCTACTGGCATGAAAGTTGAGAGTCAGCAATTTGGCTACTGCCTAAATTGGTTTGCTCTGGAGCCCTCCTTCCTGAGCTCAGACAAAAAAATGTGTGAGCCGGAGGCTAAAGAACTGTGAGCTACCTCACAGTAACTCTGCTTAAGAAGAAGAAGAAGAGATTGGATTTATACCCCACCCTTCACTACCCAAAGGAGTCCCAGAGCGGCTTACAGACTCCTTTCCCTTCCCCTCCCCACAACAGACAACACCCTGTGAGGCAGGCGGGGCTGCTGAGAGAGCTCTGACACAAACTGCTCTTTTTCAAGGACAGCTGTGCCAGAGCTTGTGATTGACCCAAGGTCATCCAACAGCTGCAAGTGGAGGAGTGGGGAATCAAACCCGGTTCTCCCAGATTAGAGTCCGCACACTTCACCACCACACCAAACTGGCTTAGAGGGAACACTGCCCAGCACCTGCCAAAAGCCAACCCTGCGGGACCCCCAGGCTGTGCAACTTGGTCTACCCGGCCACCAGGCCGCCACGACGACGACGACAGAGACCAGCGGCTGCCGGTGCTTCCCTGTGCCCCCCAGGACGGAGGCAGCTAAGCCAGCCGGGAAGGGCAGGCAGCTGCTGGGCGAAGCCCCCCGGGTGGGGGCGGGCTCTCCTTACCTGGCCTTGCTGCGGCTGATCCTCCTGAGGGTGTGGGCGTCGGCCTCCTTCTCTTCCTGCACGCGCTGCAGCGACGGGGAGCGGCTGTGGGCGCTCCGGGAGCTGCTCGTGCTCACTAGGCTACTGTCCCCCACCCCCGCCCCGACAGCCACTTCCTGCATCTGAGCCAGCAGCTGTTGGGGCAGGCTGCGGAGCGAGGGCACCGGAGAGTAGGACGGGCGGCTCTCGGCCTTCAAGTTGTTGTCGCTCGCGGACCGCTGCAGCAGGCGGGGGGAGGAGAGGCCGCCCACCCCGATGAGCCGTCTCCTCTTCGTGTAGCTGGGAGTCTCTCTAAAAGGCACTGCAAGGGAGAAACAGAGAGGCCCTCAGTGACCGGCAGCACCGCCCCCCAGGCAGGGAGAGAGGCAAGACAACCATGCTCTTCAGGAGGCCTTGGGGCCGTCAGTTAACTCCAACGCACTTTGAATTAACAACCTGGCCCATGATTGTGGACACACTACTGATGTGGAAGGGGGTCTTCTCGACAGGTGTGAGAGGGCGGGGCAGGGGACAGAACCGCTCGTGGGATCAGAGCTTTGAACAGCAAGCCAGCAAAGACACCACACAGGGCAGGGACTGCGGACCCTCAACACTTGGGAGAAGCTGGATGCAGCTTTGCATTTGCTGTACTCAGGGCTTTTTTTGTAGAAAAAGCCCAGCAGGAACTCATTAGCATACGAGGCCACACCCATGACATCACAGCTCATTAGCATATTAGGCCACACCCCCGTGTTACCGGGAGTGTGGTCATCCAGCCACACCCACCTTTTGCTTCTTATTCTGTTGACCTTGTTTGTTGTCAAAACCCAGGGCTTTTTTTGGAGCAGGAACTCCTTTGCATGTTAGGCCACATACCCCTAATGTAGCCAATCCTAATGAGTTCCTGCTGTTGGGTGTGGCCTATTATGGTGTGGCCTGTTTTGCGAATGAGTTCCTGCTGGGCGTGGCCAACTTGGGAGCCAGCCGGAACTCCGTTCCTGTGCGTTCCTGCCCAACAATAGCCCTGGCTGTACTGGAGAGCCATCCAAAAAGGGGCCCCCATGGGAGCATAAAGGCCTTCAGTTCCAGAGTCGAAAAGTACCCAGGTACAGGGGACCCCACTCCTCCACAGGCAGAAGTTTGTTTTCCATAGCTGGATGAGAGTCCAGGTGCATCTCAGAGAACTGCAAGATTTTTTTTAGCTTCCGAGTCAGGATGCAGAGGTACAATGCAGAGCGTGATCAGCTTGATTAAAGAAGGGTGGGTGGGGGATGCTGATTATATTTTGTCTTACGTCTCTACATCCAGACTCCTTTCTTTGCAGCACCTGTCCCACCGTCTGAGCAGGATGCAAGGACTCTGGGGTCTCCACGCCCACGCCTCTCTGACGCGGGGCGCTTTGACTCTCAAAAGGTCATATCCTCCCCCCAAAAAAATTAATCTCTACGGTGCTTCTGGACTCAAATGTGGCTATTTTACCACAGACCAGCCCAGCTTCCCTCTGAAACTATCATTTCCCATAGCTGAAGAAGAAGAGGAGATTTGGATTTATACCCCGCCCTTCACTACCCAGAGGTGTCTCAGAGCGGCTTACAGACTCCTTTCCCTTCCCCTCCCAACAACAGACACCCTGTGAGGCAGGTGGGGCTGAGAGAGCACTTCCGAGAACTGCCCTGGAGAGAACAGCTCTGAAGGAACTTGCGACTGACCCAAGGTCACACCAGCAGCTGCATGTGGAGGAGTGGGGTATCAAACCCGGTTCTCCCAGATTAGAGTCCATGCACTTCAACACAAAACCAAACTGGCTCTCAGAGTGGCTTACAAAGTCCTTTCCCTTCCCTTCCCTTCCCCACAACAGACACCCTGTGAGGAAGGAGGGACTGAGAGAGCTCTGACAGAAACTGCTCTTTTTCAAGAACAGCTCTTGTCAGAACTGTGGCTTGCCCAAGGTCATCCAGCCAGGTGTAAGTGGAGGAGTGGGGAACCAAACCCAGATTAGAGTCCGTGCACTTAACCACTACCCCAAACTCCTCTCCCTTCCCCTCCCCACAACAGACACCATGGGAGGTCGGCGGGGCTGAGAGAGCTCTTGGCAAAAACTGCTCTTCTCCCTGTGAAAGGTGCGGGGGGGGGGGGCTGGTGGGGCTCCTGTAATGGGGGGGGGGGGTTTGCAGCAAAGCAGGCCAAAACAGTCACGAGAGGGTGAGAGAAATGTCCAGGTGTTGAAGCCAGCCATGCTATTTCTGCCCTGCGCACTCCAGTTTTCGGAGAAGTGTTCATTGCTGGGGCTGTAGTGGAGTGCCTGATGGAAGTGTCAACCCAGTGTCCTGTTGCAGTGAAAAGGGCAAACTCTACGTTGGGGACTATTAGGAAAAGGATGGAGAAGAAAACGGCCGCTATCGTCATGCCCCTGTATAGATCTATGGTGTGGCTTCACTTGGAACACGGTGTGGTGCTCTGGTCCCCGTATCCCCAAAAGGACACGGCAGAGCTGGGAAGAGTACAGAGGAAGGCAACCAAGACAATTAGGGAGTTGGAGCCCCTTCCCTGGGAGCAGAGTCTGAAGAAGAGTCTGGGACTTTTCGGTTTGGGAAAGAGACAACTAAGGGGTGACATGAGAGAGGTTTATAAAGTTATGCATGGGACGCAGAGAGCCAACAAAGAGAAATTATTCTCCCTCTCCCAAAATGGGAACTCGAGGACATCCGATGAAGCTGATGGGCAGGAGGTTCAGGACGGACAAAAGGAAATACTTCTTTACACAGAGAGTGATTAAAATGTGGAATTGGCTGCAGGATGACTACAGGAATAAACAGCTTTTAAAAGGGGATTAGATAGATGCATGGAAAAGAATTCTATCAGTGGCTACTACCGTGTTTCCCCGAAAATAAGACACTGTCTTATATTTATTTTTTCTCAAGAAGACACACTAGGGCGTATACCACAAATGCATAGAAATCCTGCTAGGGCTTATTTTTGGGGTAGGTCTTATTTTCGGGGAAACAGGGTAGCTATGGTGACTGAGGGGAATGTCCACATTCAGAGGCAATAAACTTCTGCATCCCAGAGCCAAGAGGCAACATCAGGGGAAGGCCTCAGCCTCTCTGCCTTGTTGTTGGCCCTCCAGAGGAACTGTTTGGTGGCTGTCTGAGACAGGATGCTGGATTGGATGGACCCTCACTGGTCTGATCCAGCAGGGATCTTCTTATGTTCTAATGAAGGCCTCAGCCTCTGTGCCCTGTTGTTGGCCCTACATAGGAACTGGTTGGCCACTATGTTAGACAGGGTGCTGAATTAGATGGACGGCTGGTCTGATCCAGTGGGGCTTTTCTGAGGTTCTTATGAAGGCCTCGGCCTCTCTGCCCTGTTCTTGGCCCTCCAGAGGAACTGGTTGGCCCCTGTGTGAGACAGGATGCTGGACTAGATGGACCCTCACTGGTCTGATCCAGCAAGGCTCTTCTGGTGTCCTTATCAGGGGAAGGCCTCAGCCCCTCTGCCCTGTTGTTGGCTCTCCAAAGGAACTGGTTGGCCACTATGTCAGACAGGATGCTGGACTGGATGGACCCTCACTGGTCTGATCCAGCAGGGCTCTTCTGAGGTTCTCCACAAGTAACTGCTAAGGTCACTGACCCCAGGGCCACATCCAGATGTGCTCTGGCCATCTGTGGCCCTGCCTCTTCTAGTCTGGGTGGGTTGGCAGTACCCTGGGCCTTGGCTTGGCTCTGTTTGGCACTGACCTGCGCTCAGGAGGGGATACCCTCCTCAGGGTATCCCCCTATACAATTGTATGGGTGCTCAGCCCACAGAGAGGCCCGGAGCCTAGTCCGTGTCCAGGAAAGAAAGAAACTTTTGCTGTAAAAAGGCAAAGGGAACTTCGTTTCCAGGGACACGGGGGAAAATGTTTCATTTCCAATGCATTTAAAAAACAAAAGCTCCACACGCTGAATACAGGTAACACAGCCATGGAACGGGAAGCAGACATAATTAATACAAATGTCAGCCCCCATAAATCCGGCAGTGGAAGCATAATGTCCTATGGAACATGTTTATTGTGCATGGGTTAGCTTAAAATGTCTTTATGCTTCTCTCTCTGCAACCACAATAAGAACAGCAACAACACCCCCGGGACAAAAACCAGCATCAAAAAGGAACAGAGTAGAAGAGATTGGATTTATACCCCATGGCCCTTCACTACCCAAAGGTGTCTCAGAGCGGCTTACAATCTCCTCTCCCTTCCCCTCCTCACAACAGACACCCTGTGAGGTATGTGGGGCTGAGAGAGCTCTGACAGAAATGGCTCTTTTTTCAAGAACAGCTCTGACAAAACTACGGCTTGCCCAAGGTCACCCAGCCAGGTGCAAGTGGAGGAGGAGTGGGGAATCAAACCCGGCTCTCCCAGATTAGCGTCTGCGCACTTAACCACCACACCAGACTGGCTCAAACAGGAGTCGGCCAGCACATCTCAGAAACATCCCATGGTACAGCGCTCCTGGGAATGTGCCATGTCCCACTGCAGGCGGGGGCCCATGCAATTAAATGGTTCCGCCCCAAACCCCACCCTGCGCATCCAGGAGGGGGTGAGCGGGGAACTGTCTCTGTGTCCGACTTGGCTTCCAGGTGCTGGGAGGGTAGAAAAGAGACACGGGGAGCATTCACCCACATTGCCCCCACCTACGCTCTGGTAGAAGAAGAGAAGAGATTGGATTTAGACCCCATGGTCCTTCACTACCCAAAGGTGTCTCAGAGCGGCTTACAAGCTCCTTTCCCTTCCCCTCCCCACAACAGACACCCTGGGAGGGAGGTGGGGCTGAGAGAGCTCTTGACAGAAACTGCTCTTTTTCAAGGACAGCTCTTATCAGAACTATGGCTTGCCCAAGGTCATCCAGCCAGGTGCAAGTGGAGGAGGAGTGGGGAATCAAACCCGGCTCTCCCAGATCAGAGTCCGTGCACTTAACCACTACAACAAACTGGCTCTCCAAACTGGTAGTGTGAGGCAGCCCATGGAGGGGAGGGCTGTATGGCTGTGCTGTTTGGGTCTACTACGCCACCTCCTCGTGGCGTTAAACATGAAACCGCACTGAGCCGCTGGAGCCGCCACCCAGGAACAGGGCGAGAGGCTTCCCATTGTGCCAAGACAGCCCTTGTCAAGCCAGGAAAGGACCGGACCGGATCTGCTCTTCGCTCCCCATAAGCGATGTCCCTCTCCGAAACGCACAGGCTGCCTCTCTGTTGTCGTGGCAACTTGACGCATTTATCCCCTTCTCAGCTGAACAGCGATGCGATGTTTGGGATTTCATTTCAAGGCATCCAGCCCACGCGTGG